CTTCTACCAGAGCTTCCCAATCTCTTCCAAAACTGAACCGCCCTCTTTTAGAAGTCAAAAGGCACCTCCCAAGCACAAAGCCCCACACCCAATGCTTCACTTTTATCTGTACCTTCAAAAATCTCTAATTGGCTAGGGTTTTGGGCAGAAACAGTACAGCATTGCTTCGTGGCAGTTTCTGGCCAAAATACAACTTTCCAAACCCTCTACCAACCAGGCAAAAGGTCCTCTGAATTATAGAGAACCTATCTCTCCATACACTCTCTTAATTGAAGGGTGTATGGGAAAAAGAGAGAAAGAAAAAGAAGGAAAAAGAAACCTGCTCTGATACCAAGATGTAAATCAATCTTGTAAAACTGATATAAACTTGGTAAAATTTAGAGAGAAAGAAAAGAGAAAAATAGAGAACAACAGTACAAAGGAAGAAGATGGAGAAAAGAAGAGGAAGAAGAAGAAGAATTTGAATGTCTCTTCCCTCCCTTCTCTAATCTTTTTGTTAAACTTCAATCTTAGGTTAATTACAAGTATGCCCTTAAGTGGGCAGCCAGCTAGGCAGTAACATAAAGAGAACTAACAAAAAAGAAATAATAGGCCCATAAAGATAGGCCCATTAGCTAACAAATAAATAAATAGCATATTACAAGAAAAGATACTAGGGCCCATTCGGCCTAGTCTCTCTACAAACCGCATGCCCATGTCTATCCTTGAAGGTCATTTTCCATTCTCCGTTTTGTTTCCTACTTTGTCTCATTTTCCTCTTACTCCCAAAGTTTTTTGGTGTGTGTGTTTTGTTCATAATCTTGGGCCTGGAATGGACAAGTTAGATGCTTGATCCACTAAGTGTATCTTCCTTGGTTATTCCAGGACTCAAAAAGGTTATAAGTGTTATAACCCCAGTTCCTAGCGTTCTTTTGTGTGTCCTGAGTTTACATTCTTTGAGTTTGTTCCTTTTTTTCTCCGGGTCAGGTGTTTCTTCTCTTCCATCACCATCACCTCCTCTTCTAGTTCCTGTTGAGGACCCCATTCCTCTTGTTCCAGTTGTGACTAAGTCTTTGCCTCCAGTGCAACTCCCTGCTAAACGACCACCCATTCGGCAAGTGTATAATCATCGTCAAGTACTGGCTCCTCCTCCAGCTTTGTCACCGTCGACAGATCCGGAAGTTGTTACCACCCCAGCCCCACCCCCTAGTTCTGACCTTGATCTTCCTATTGCTTTGCGGAAAGGTAAACGTAGTTACACTCTCCACCCCATTTCCAATTATGTTTTTGTATCTCACCTTCCAGCTTCCCATCGCCAGTTTGTTTCTATGTTATCCTCTGTCTCTGTTCCAAAGGATGTTCAAGAAGCTCTCACTTCTCCAGGGTGGTGCCAAGCAATGGAGGAAGAACTCTCGGCCTTGATTCGTACTCAAACGTGGGACCTCACCACTCTTCTGCCTGGTAAGTATGTTGTAGGCTGTAAGTGGGTGTACACTGTTAAATATTTTCCTGATGGAAGTGTTGAATGGTTGAAAGCCTAGTTAGTTGCCAAAAGTTATTCACAGCTCTATGCTATCGATTACATAGACACATTCTCCCCTGTTGCCAAAATTGGTTTCGTTTGTGTTCTGATCTCCCTTGCTGCTATGTATGATTGGCCCTTCTTTCAGCTTGACATCAAGAACGCCTTTTTACATGGTGACCTCCTTGAGGAAGTGTACATGGAGCAACCACCAAGGTTTGTTGCTTAGGGGGAGGGTGATAAGGTATGTAGACTTAAGAAGGCTATTTATGGGCTTAAACAATTCCCCCATGCATAATTTGGTAGATTCAGTGAAGTGGTGAAGAAATTTGGCATGAAACAGTGTCAAGTTGACCATTCCGTATTTAGTTATGAGTCCAATGCTGGGAAGATCTTATTGGTGTTAAATGTATATGATATTCTTATCACTGGCAGTGGTAGACCAGGGATTGATAGGTTGAAGACTTACTTGCATGATCACTTCTAGACAAAGGATCTTGGCAAATTAAGATACTTCCTAGGGATAGAAGTAGTGAGGTCCAAGATTGGTATTAATCTGTGCTAGAGGAAATATGTCCTTGATCTGCTAGAGGAGACAGGGTTATTAGGTGCCAGACCAGCTGAAACACCCATGGAACTGAATGTCAAGTTGAGTAGTGGTGTAGGTGAGGAGTTTGAAGATCTTGGAAGGTATAGAAGGTTGGTAGGTAAGCTGAATTACCTAACCATCACTCGGCCTGATATCTCATTTGCAATTAGTGTAGTGAGTTAGTTTATGCAGAATCCTCGAATTCCACATTGGGAGGTGGTTCTAAGGATTGTACAGTACTTGAAGGGAGCTCCAGGTCGTGGTTTGTTATATAAGAGTGGAGGAAGTCTTGAGATAGAGGGATACACGGATGTTGATTGGGCCGGTTCCATATCTAACAAAAGGTCAACTACAGGGTATTGCACTTTTCTTGGTGGCAACTTAGTGACATGGAAGAGTAAGAAGCAGACAGTGGTAGCAATAAGTAGTGCAAAGGCTGAATATAGAGCCATGGCACACACAACATGTGAACTAGTGTGGTTGAAGCATCTCCTAGAGGAAATGGGGTACTCGATTGACACTCCTATGAAGCTATATTGTGATAATCAAACTGCAGTTCATATCTCCTCTAATCCAGTGTTTCATGAAAGAACAAAGCATATAGAAGTTGATTGCCACTTTGTACGTGAGAAGGTGCTTAATGGAGTGATAAGTACAACATATGTGAACACAGGAAATCAATGGGCAGATCTGCTTACCAAAGGGTTGAGTTGGGGAAGAGTGGACTACATATGTAACAAGCTGGAATTGTATGACATATACTCACCAATAGACTTGTTCATGGGTCGGGTAGCCCAACGGCCTGGCCCGCACCCAATCGGGTTTGGACATGTAATTAGGCCCGCGGGCCTGACCTCAGGCCCAAAACACCAAGCCCGATTGTGTGTCGGGCTGGGCTCAGGATTTGTCAAAAAAACCCAGCTCGGCCCGACTCATTTATATAATATAAAATATATAACATTTATTATAATATATATTAATAATTAAATATATACATTTTTTATTTTTTCTTTATAATTTCTCTCTCTCTATTCAGCCGCTTCAGCAGCGGCATGAGCTATATACTTCGGGCTCGGGCTCGGGCCTAGGCCCAGGCTTCGGGCTTTTTATGGGGGCACTCGGGCCCAAGTTGTAGGCCTGATGGTCGGGCCGGGCTCGGGCTCGGGCTCGGGCCTAGGCCCAGGCTTCGGGCTTTTTATGGGGGCACTCGGGCCCAAGTTGTAGGCCTGATGGTCGGGCCGGGCTCGGGCTCGGGCTCGGGCCTTAAAAAAATCTGTTAATGCAGAGTGAAAGCCCGGCCTGGCCTGGCCCATGAATAGGTCTACTCACCAGCTTGAGGGGGAGTGTTAGAGTCGGCTGTAGAGGGGTAGTATAGGCATTTTACATTAAGTTATATGTTAAATGTAATTATAAGTGGATCTTAAGTTAGCTGATGTGGCTCTCACTTAAGTGAGGGCATAAGAGTAATTCTGATTTGTTTAGAAAGGTATAAATAAAGCCTGACTGACTAGAGAGGGTGATTTTTCTCTCTAGTTCAACCAGAACAGTTTTCTCTTCTTCTCTTCTTCCTACTGTTTCTACAGATTCTTCTTCTTCTTATTATCTGGAATTATAAGGACACTATACCTGAATTCTATCAAGTATGTTACAGACACTGTATAATGTTAGAAAGACAAAAGGAAGACTCTAATTTCTCAAGGGATAGGATTTGGATCAGAAATGTACTGTCTAAATTGGCTAAGGGGGTGAAGTAGGTATACAGGTGGTGGATGAGAGGTGTGTTTTGTGCAATAAAAGTATGGAGACAACAAGTCATCTACTGATTCATTGTGATTTTGTTTACTGGATTTGGGGAAAATGTTGGAAATTTCAGCTCTTTTACTGCTTCAAAACACTTCAAAATGTTTTTTAGATTGACAAGCTGCATAATGAAGATGACTAGATGAGTGACATGAATGCTTTCTCTTCCCATCAAGAAACCTCAAATCAGGTTCAGATTTGTAGTCTTCACCAAAAAGGCATCCAGAATATCTGCTACCATTAATAGCAACATTTATCTAACAATTTTGTTCAATTGTAATTTTCTTTCTTCTTATACATTTTTATTTATTTATTACATGCTTTATGACGTCCTGGGCTGACCTGTTTGACATGGATGATCAAACTGTTGACCCACAACCCAGAGCCAAGAACGGTTCAATTTCCGGGTCACTTATTAGAAGTGACCCTGTGGCTACCCTTTTGGGTTACCCCCTATATGCCCATGTTGATTCTCCATATTCCAATAAAAAACTTGGTCTGAAGTTTTGTAGTATGTCCTAAGCATAGAGTTTTCTATAAATAGGGGCAGTTCAATTCTCTTGGATTGCAGCCTCAAATTTGGCATTTTTGTCAGGGGTGTGGAACTCCTCATAAACATTAACCGTTTCATCAAAAGAACCGGCTCTTCATAAAAAATAGGTAGGTAAATCTTCTTGAACAGATTATGCAGGGGATAATGGCCATTTAAGGTTTTCTTGATGCCTCAGTTCCTTATTTGTACTCATTTACTTGGACCAAAAGAAGTAAAAGAAAAAGATGAGGATGATGAAATCCCCATAAGAGCATTGCTTAGGATTTGGAGATGTTATCCAAGATCAACTTCAAGGCTTGAAGCACATGTTCTATGCTGTGTGTCTATGCATTAGTCAACAGTAACTTGTTGAGGGTATTGGTGTATTTTTACAATTACTTTTCTTTGGTAATAAAATATGGACAGTGAAGGATGTTGGATTATGATAATCAATTACTTATTCCAAAACCGACAGTATATAATCCAAAAAGTCTAGATGCAGTATTTCAAGCATAATGAAATAAGGAGCAGGTTAAACAGAAGTTCTAAAATAGAATCAAAGAATGAATTGTACTCACAGGGAATGTAGGATTGTGATAATCATCCTGAAACACAGAATCAAGATCACGAAACAATCGATGATCAGGTGTGTCATAGCGGCCATCACAAAGATCAAGCCCACCTATAAATGCAGTAATTTTTCTGTTATTTCCAGGTCCTTGTGTATCCACTAACACACATTTTTGGTGATGTGTAAAAAGGGTACCAACAACCTGGATGCAGACACAACAAAAGAAATTTCAACAAAATAAAGATTATTAAGAAGCTAAAATCATCAAGTGGAATTATGTACATAAAGGACATCTATTCTGGTTGTCAATAAAAAAAATTAAAAACTGAACCAACTTGAACCATCTTCCAATAAACACCCACCAATCACTTAATTGATATTTGTGTCTCTCATACCAGAAGTAGACAGGGTCAAGTACAGTTGTGTTAGACCACAAATAAATAAGGTCAAGCATGTAAGATATACTGATGAGTTCCTGAGGTGCATTTTCAGAAGCCAGCATAAGTTAGATATTTAGAAGTTGGTAGGCTTTTCTCTTGGTGCTTTTTTAAAGTTCTCTTTAATTTTCAGGAGGCAGGGGTGTTTTGGTATTTTCACATGTATTTGGTGGTCCAGCTTTGGGATTTTGTTGTCTGTGTCATTCTTAATGTTAGTTTTAGTCTCCCAAGTAGGGGTGTCAATAGGTCAGGTTCAATTTGGGTCCATTTATACCCAGACCGGTACCCTATTATATGCATCAGTACCTTCTTTGGTGGGTCAGCACCCAAAGAGTGTAAAATTCAAATATCACCATTTTGGTGACCAATGGCAGAAGATCATCTAGGACAATGATTTTGAATTTTGAATAGGACGAATCTGTAAATAAAAACATCTTGTATTTTGAATGATGCTTTCCTGATACAAAATGCTCTGTATATATTATCCTTTTAGGAAATCTCTTCCTCCAGTTAAAGTTAAAACAATACTTCACTTTTACTTTTCAAAGAAACCTGTTACTAGTATTTCCCAGTGTTTTAAAAGTGAGAGGCACAAGAAAAGTGCAAGGACCTTTTAGCTCCAAGGTGTAAGGCGCAAGACGAGGTGTGTACCCAGACAAAGCCAGGCATAAACCCCTCTTGTACTATGGGGTCAGTGACAAATACACCCCCCCTGAAATTTCATTTGCGACAAAGACCCCCTGAACTTTCACTTTGCAACAAATACCCCCTGACCATTAAGTCAGATGATGGAATGTGTTAATTTACCAAAATACCCACCTAAACTTTTCATATTTTCTTTTTCTTGTCATTTTCTCTTAAACCCAGTTGACCAAAAATACCTCCATTTTCTCCAAATGAAACTATCTAAAATAACAAGAATAATTTCACTGGCATAGAAAATAAAGTTTTTTTTTTTAATTCTCGATTCATTTCACTCACATGAATGCCTTTCTTTATCTTAAAATATAAAAACTATCCACTCTGTTCTCCAATAATTCAAGAAAAAGCAAATGGAAGCATAAATTTATATCTATTAGAAAGAAACCTCTACCATTTCATTTGAATATTGAATCCAGCCAGAAATTTGCAAGGATCTATTGGAGCAATCAAGAGGCCTTCAATGTTATATTTAGAAAACTAATCAAATCATAAATCATTCAAATAAATAAAAGGGTAGTTTGGGGATTTAAAAAATAAATAAACAGCTGAATGAGAATTTTTTGAAGTTAACTGATGGAACTCTAATGGAGGGATTATCAAAAAAACTCTAACAGAGGGGAGTATTTGTCACAAAAGTGCAAGTTCATGGGGCATTTGCCACTAACTCCATAGTACAGGGAGGCCTTTGTAATTTATACATAAAAACAGGCAAATTGATCAAAAAATACTTAAAAATATGCAAACCTGAATTCTAAAAGAAATTAAATACTTTAAAGATTTACTACCTCAAAAAGAAAGCATAATATATAAAACAAATTCAAAGTGGAAGTGAAACCAAGCAAATGCAGATCATACCAAAGTGCTTCAAGAACTCAACAATGTTTGCTTATCTCCTAGTTGCATTACATCAACTTCCTAAAACTTAGGAAATTGGAGCCTTTTATGAATGTAAAGCACTGATAGGCCTAAAGCTGGAGGAAAGGCCCCTCAGATGCAAGCCCAAACAAGCCCATAAACGAGTTTGGGGGCAGTACCTCTGAGCTGAATTTTTTGCCATATATAATGTAGGAAACTGTGGACCCCACATTAAGTGTATTCGTGTGATACCCTGAGATGTACTTAGATTTAAATTGATTAGGATCAGCTTTCCTAGTAGGATTAGTTTTATTCTATCTTATCTAGGATTAGATTTATTTTAATCTTATCTTTTATTGCCATGTAAGCATTAAAGTTCTTTTACAATTAGGAAACTATGTATATAAATTAAGGAGTGGGGCGGCTGTTTTAAACACACCAACCACTCTCTTCTTTCTAAAACCTCTCCACCAGTTCTCCCTCTTCATCTCGCTTTTTCTTCTCATCTCTCTTCCTTTCTTTATTTTCTGTTCAAAACCTAAGAGATATTTGTAGTCTTGTACGACTACTTATAAAAGGGGGTTGGTTTTGTGATTTTGGTAGCAGTTTATTCTATTTTGGGGTTTGGGATCAAAGATCAGTTTTATTGTTTTTTCTTTATTAGCGAAAACTTTGTTATTTGAGATCCTATTCACAAAAAGATAATTTTGCATGGACTCCCCTCCACTTTGGAGGATACTTGCAAGTCAAAGTGTGTCCATGAGCTGACTTGTGTCCAACTCTTTGAAATACATATCATTCTAATTAATTCATCTCCAAATTCTAAATGGCGGCCTAGACCTTTCAGGTTGCTTGAGGCTTGGAAAACGCATGAAAGATGCAAGAATATTATTTCTGAAACTTGGAATGTTGAGGTGGAAGGGACAAAAATGTATGGGTTGTCTAAACAAATTTCGAAGTTAAGTTAAATCTGGGAAAGTGGAACAACTCCACCTTTGGATTCATTGGAAAAAAAAATATAGAAAAGCTCAACGCTGACCTGGTAGAGGTTCAAGGGCTTCCTCCTAGCCTGGCTACTGAATCTAAGAGAAAAGAGTTGGAACTGAATTTGGATCTAGAACTCAAAAGAGAGGATATATTATGGCATCCAAAGTCTAGAATCCAGTGGGGGATATGGCAAGTTATCTGGGTTGTGAGAAAGGAAATTGGCCCATCAAGTACCTAGGATTACCACTTGGTGGCAATCCTAAAGCTTTGAGTTTTTGGAATCCAATGGTGGAAAGGTTTGAGAAGAGATTAGCTGGGTGAAAGAGAAATTGCATTTCTTTAGATGGGAAGATAACATTTATCAAATCTACCATAGCTAACCTTCCTGTCTTTTTTATGTCGATTTTTAGGATGCCCCAGGCTGTTGTGAGAAAGCTGGAAAAGATCATGAGAGACTTTTTGTGGGGACCTGGGGAAGGGAAGAAAGATTAGGCCTTATTGAGTAGAAGGAGGGTTGGGGATTGGGATCATTAGAATTAAAAATTGGGCCTTATTGAGTAAGTGTCTATGGAGATTCCTCAATCACATCAGGTATGATTTGGTCTTCGGTCAAAATATTAGATTTTGGAAAGATATTTGGGTTGGGGAGACCCCTTTGATGGAGATCTTCCCTTCACTTTATGCTATTACCAATCTCAAAGGCAGACCGGTGGCTGAGTTCATTTTCTCCTCTTCCTCTCCTTCTGAGCTAAATTGGAAATTTGGAACTTGGGCCTCATTAGGAATCTTAGAGAATCTGAAATTCCCCTTGTTTTTGCTTTGCTCTCTTTGCTGAATCCAGTGGTTCTTGGGGATGGGGGCATGGACAGTAGGGTCTGGACCCTTAATTCGGCTGGGACTTTCACTTGTAAATCCTTTTTTAACTCCCTTGTAGCTTCCTCACCTTCTCTTTCACCTACTTTACCTGTTAAGGAAATATGGTGTTCTCCCATCCCTCCTAGAGTCAATGCTTTCTATTGAGAAGTGTTTCATGGTTGCATTAATACTTGTGATAAGCTTCAAAGGAAGTAGCTTGGGAGGGTTGTTTAACCCTTCTGCTTGTAGGTGTCTACTAAAAGAGGTAGATTGATGCGGAAATGCACAAGGGCAGCAATTATTTGGACAGTCTAGGAGGAAAGAAACTCTAGAATTTTGGGGGAAAAGAAGAGGAATAAGGAAGAATTGATTGAGGCCATAACCCTAAGAGTGGCACATTGGTTCAAGACCTTGAATTTGTTCTGAGACTTTAAGATTGATGATTTCTTCAAAGCTTGGGGGGGCTATAGCTGCCTCATCTTCTAGAAGACAGATTGCAACAGTGATCTGGTCTCCCCTGCCTTGTGGCTGGTTGAAACTGAATTTCGACGGGAGTAGTGTGGGCAATCCAGGCCCCGCTGGAATTGGAGGAGCTATCAACAGAATTGTTAGCAGCTATTTATGGGCTTGAGAAATCCAAGGAAATGGGCTTTGAAAGGCTAATTATTGAAGGTGATTCCAAAACAGTTGTGGACTGGACCGACTGGTTAAAGAAAGGGGAAGGAGTTTCATGGCATTTAAGGAATGATCTTAGGAGGTTCAAAAGGTCTCCAGGGATATACTGATTCAAGTTAATTGGGTTAGAAGGTCGGCCAACAATTTGGCGGATAGTTTAGCTAAACAAGGGGGTTTGGACACTGATTCTTCCAGAATTCAGTCAACTAGAAAAGGAGGATTCTGGAAATAGTTTAGGAGAGTTCCTGGATTATCAGATTTGTAATGTGATGACTTGTCACCCTCTTGTTATTTATTCTGGAAGTAGTTTAGGAGAGTTCCTGGATTCAGTCAGCTTGTTATTTATTCTGGAAGTTGGTCTATGTATTTGGGTGATGACTTGTCACCCTCTTTTGTAACTTCTTTTATCTTTAATTAAATTTTTATTTTACTTATCAAAAAAAGGGTGGTTGGACATATTTGTAATATTTGGGGGTTTGGACACTTGGTGTCTATTTGTATCCTCACAACTTCTTGTTGTGCTGCCTTAATTAGCTTAATGAAATCCTTTTTCTGAGTTATTGATCAAAAAAAAAAAACAAAAAGGCTTTGGAGGTTTGGGGAGCAACAAGAGAGTCCTTAGAGAAAAGTGAGCCAAACTAAATATGGATCAAGAAACTCGGATGGGATCTGGGTGTCTCAGCCAATCTTA